TACCAGAGCCCCTCAGCGCCCTCCTCCACCACCTCCACCACGTCCCCGCTCCTCATGGCGAGGGTGTCTGGGCCCCCCTTCTCATCGTCCAGCACCACAGTGTACTTCCCAGGGACCTGCGGGAGACGGACACAGGCGGAGTGCCAGTGGGTCAGCACCTGCTGCTCAGTGCCAGCAAGAAGACACGAACTTGTGCTGCACTTGGCACCTGGGCAGCGCCACTCAGGGCAGGGAGTGTGCGTCCAGAGCGGGCTTCAAGAGACCCTGCTGTGGGAGCAAGGCCCTGTTTTAGGAAGATGCTGCTAGGCCCCCTGTTATCACCACGTTAGAAACCCAAGCGTGGGTGCCAGGTGTCCTCAGGCTCCCTGGCGTGGCAGCTGGGCACACTGGGCTCCGTGCTGGTCTCAGCAACCCCGTTTCTGGAATGCCTGCCCTCTGGCCATCTCGATCTAGGTGGCCCTCTCAGGCTGTTCTCTCTGGAGGACATCCTTACCTAAAGTGTGACAAGGCTGAGTGCTGTTTTGTGCTTCCTGTGAGAGGAGATTCTCATCTGTTGTGTTCCCTGCATTATCAGGTGTTGGGAACACTGGTGCCCAGTGGACACTAAACCACCGTCTATGGGGTCAGTTCTGCTGTGGAATGTGGGCCGAGGAGCAGAGGCTGTTCTTGAGCAGGACGGGCACTCCTGGCCTCACAGAAGCACGTGAGCTGCAGGAGGTGCTCTGGCAGCAGGGCCTGGGCAGGATTGGTGAGGGCCCGTCCTCCTCACTCAGCTACCTGCCCCAGGTGGACAACCCCACCTTGGCTCCCTACTGGGCCAGAGCAGCCAGCATCTCCACACTGAGAACAAGGTCCAACCCCTCCCCAGGCCCCACTCTCCCCTGTTCACCAGCCCCAGTCCCTCCTGCCACGCCGCCCTCCCTGTGTCCTCCTGTCTGCCCTTCTCACTCTTGACCAGTGTTAATGCGCCCTCTTGGGAAAGACCCAAATAGGTATTTGTGGGGGTCATCCCGACTCTAATATGTAATTTAATATGTAAATGACTTTTCTTGCTGTACTATTAAAAACAGGACATGGTTTATAATGTGAGCCCATACCTAGGGATGATGCAAATCCACAATCAAGATAGTTCAATTTCTTAAAAAGTGAGATGGAGGCTCCAGTATACAGTGTTAGGAAAGCTTAATTAGTGCATTCTGTCCTTTGGAGGGTGAGTGACAGGACACACTGTGCAGGGGCTGTAAGTTGTAGGTACACAGTGTGCTGGGACCTTGGGCACGGACACTGACCCAGGCCAACACAGAGCACTCCGGCGTGAGGAACTGTAGCTGCACTTGCAAGACCCAGGCTGAGGTAGGTCTCCTAGAATACTCCTTCTCCAGGGGACAGCACCCACCACCACCACCCAGGCAGGACAAGGTTACCAGCTTCTTGGGGCCCACTCCACCATCCTCCTCTGCGTCGGATGAGTTGATGGGCTCCTCAGCACTTGACCAGCCGCCCTCGTCCTCAGGGACCTCCAGTGAGTGGGACGTTTTGCTCCAGCCTAAGGGAGGAAGAGGCTCCAGTGAGGGCCACGTCCATGAGAAGCTGTTCCACGCGAGTCCCACAGACTCCCTGAAATGTGCAGCCATGGGTCCAAGCTGAGCCAATCACAGGACCTGCCTGCCTAGGCTCCCGGCTCCACCCTGTGTTCCAAGTCACAGGAAGACCGACGGGGTGTGACGGCATCTGCTCCCAGCTGCCAGTCCACGGGGAGACAAAGCCCAGACCCTGCACACAGACCTGTGCCTGTGTGAGGCTCAGCCCCACAAGCCCCCACCCTACAGCAAACGCTGGAGGAGAAGGCATTTCCGTTAACACGGTGACAACCAACACCTCCCAGACCAGCCAGGAAGGCAGTTTCTAGCCCAAATTGACCCCACGGATCTCTGGTCTGTGAGCTGAGGGGGCTGTGTACTCGCAGGGCAGGGAGCACCCAGGTGGGGATGCTGAGCAACCAGGACAGGCTGTGCAGTGGTGGCAACAAAGCCAGGCTCTACTTTGGCCTCCAGTCCAGCCCACCAACCCTGGCCAGCCAGGCGGGACCTAGACTATATCTATTGCTTTGTTAGTGTTCCTCCTGCCTCGTGTCCCCCAGGGGTGGCAGTGGTGTTCCCATCATGGGGGAGACGGAGACCAGGAATTCCCAATGGTGATAAATAGAGTAAGTGCACTGGGCACCTGCCTTCAGTACCAAGAAGCACAGGGCCGAATTCAATGACACCTTAATGCTTCAACAAGGAACAAGCGTGTCAGAGACAGGCAGACTGCCCAGTGGGTTTGCACCTGCCACAGCCTGCTCCAGGCTGAAGCTGCCTTTTCCTATGAAAGAGAGGTGCTGGGGTGTGAAGAGGTCACAGAGGAGCCCCAGGCACGAGTGCATGTGTGCCTTACCGCCCCTCGAAGTCAGGGCTGCAAGAGACAGACCCACTCTGAAGGCCAGCTCCCTCCCACGCCTGAGGACGTTCAAGGCTGGCAATGAAAAGCTTCTGCTGAGAGGCCTGGAAGTCACCAGGCCAGGTGCAGCCTGAGCCCTTCCGAGCTCCACTCTCCTGGGGCTGGCTGCAGGAGAGGGGGAGGCTGTGCAGCTGGCTCTGCAGGTGCCACACTAGGCTTGTGCCTGGGCAGGACCTGGGGGCTGGGTCTGCAGGGCAGTTGCCTGTCCTCCCTGCTCTCAGCCCGCCTGCAGCTGCAGCCCAGCTTGGAGCTGGAGCACTGGCGCCAGGATCGGCACCTTCTGTAGGCAGAGAGCCTTCTCTGTGCCCAGCCGATGTGACATGGAAACCCCTGCTTTAGCATGGCGTCTGTGAGGGAGACCTAGGGCTCAGCCTCTGGCACTGCCAGAGGACCCCACAGTGCCAGGCGGGGGCTCGGCCTGGAGCCTCTGGACAAGCCCTCTGTCGGGCTTCAGAGGGTCCCTCGTGAGAAGGCGTGCGGGAGAAGTGACAGCCTGCTGAGGGGTGGGCTCACATGGGCGAGTGGCCTTGAAGCAGGTGCCCCCCTCTCAATCTGGGACGCTGGGGGATTCTGTGCAAGATGAGGCCCAGGTGACCTGTGACCTGTGGCCTGTGACCATTTTCCACCGAGTGGTCCTTATATTGTCAACGCTGCAAAACGACTTCCAGGCCTGGTCATGGCCCACGGAGCCGTGGGGGGCGTGGGCCCAGCACCACAGGTGCCCTCCCAGCAGCACCCACAGTGCTCACTCCACTCACAGGAGGGGGGCGCCTGCAGAGGCAAAGCTGCCTGGCTGCCAAGGGGGCGGACGCCGGTTCTGCCCTGCAGTGTCCGCCAGGCCAACTCGGCCAGCCCTCGCGGTGTGCCCTGGGCTGAGAGCACCGAGGCCTCAGAGGCCTGGTCACCAGCAGAAAGTACCTAACGGACAAGCAGACCTTCGCAGAGGCTGCCAACGGAGCCCCCTGGGTCTCGGCTGCAGCGGGCTGGGTGTCTGCCTGTGCTTAGGACAGGCGGGCATGCCAACCGGCTCCTGGCTCTGAACCATGCCCAGCGGCAGCAAGAAGGCTGGCGTGGGAGGCTTGGGGCTCTGAGCTTGGAGACCGGCAGTACGGGTGGCCTCTGGGGCGGACTGGGGTGCTGTGCAGCGTGCCCCTGGGAACCTTCACGACTGTTTGCACAGCACTCTCTCCTGCACCTGTGTCCTTGGCTGGGCAGAGGAGGCCTCGGGTGTCCCTGGGGGTCGCCCTTAGAACTAAATGAGCAGGAAACAAGAAGCCCGGTCCCAACATGGAGTTTGATCCTCCCATCTGCCACACAGCCATCTCCCCTCTGCCAGGGGAGGGTGGACCAGATCGGTCGCCTCATGGCCTCAGCAGGCCGCAAGCTGGTGAGGCGGGCCACGGCCTACCACAGCCACTGGACAACAACCCAGCCCAGCTCCAGCCAGGTCACTCATGAGGGGAAGGTCTGCTGAGGGGTCAGTGGGAAGCCAGTGTCCCCCAGCATCTGTCACCAGGCATCTAGCTGTAGGCCACCAGGGCCACCTCTGGCTGTGGGGCCTGCTCGTGTCATCCTAGGTGACCTGCGTGGGCCACACACCGCCCGCCCGGCCGGTGTCCAGCAGCTGAGCCATGCTACCTCGCAGACCAAAGGGAGTCGGGTCGCTCTTTACTGCATGCCGCTTAGCCTTTCTGTCGGGACTGGTAGGAGAAGCTGCAGGAGGAGGCAGAGGCAGAGAGACAGAGTGAGGGGTGGCCAGGGGCGGAGGGGGCCCGTGAGATGGGATGGACACAGCACCGGGGTCCCTCCAGATCAAGAGTAGCTCTGTGGGCAGGCGAGGGGGAGGGGGAGGGGGAGGGCAGTGGGGGAGAAGGGACCTGTCCTGGGCTCTGCGTCATCAAAGGTGCAGCACTGTGAGGGCTGCTGCGTCCCTCAGGCCTGACGCTGGCTGAAAGCATCATCCACACTGAGAAGAGCCCACCGTTCTCTGTGCCAGCATCTGGCCACTGGAGAGGGCCCTGGTCAGCCTGGCCTCGGGCACTGGGAGGGAGCCTTCCAGGGCTGGGGGCCAGGCCTCTGGCCACCAAGGAGCACTCCAGGCCGATGGAGCTGATGGGATCTCCATCGGGCATCCTTGGCCAGCCCGCTCACCAGCAGGTGCCCGAGAGGGTACCTGACCAGGGTCTCGGCTGTGGTGGGAGAGTGTTTGCAGCCAGAAGGGCAACTGCTGGGCAGCTAAGGGAAAAGAGGGGCGGGCAGGGCAGGGAGAGCGGAGTCGGGCCAGAGAGCCAGGAAGCCCAGGTCGGAGCAGGCCCGCAGAGCTGGCCTTGACATTTTCAAAAGGACACCCTGAAAGATGACTTCAGGAGTTGGTAATGGACACTCAGGGGTCACAGGAGGATGCTGTGAAAGAGCTTTGGATGGGCTGTGCATGGGATGAAGGGGCGGGGCCTCCTGAGAAGGCCCCCCCCAATGGCCACCACACCATGCAAGACAGAGGCCCCCACAGGAACACAGGTGAAGCAGACCTCAGGCAGCAGTGCCTCTTTACCTCTCTGACCTTTGAGGTTAGCAAAGCCCTGCAGGGTGAAGCGCTTTCTGGAAAGTGCGGAACTTTCTGAAGTAGAGCTAGAGACCGCGTCATCTAGGAGGAAGAGAGACGTGCAGAGGGCCTGCAGCCCGGCCAGCGTGGCGGGCAGAGAGCCCAGGGGCCGGTCCTCATGCTTCCCCGAGTTGGCTGGAGCGGGGCGCAGAGTGTCAGAATGCGGGGTGGGCAGTGAGTCCCAGGCCCTCTGGAGGGGGAGGGGACCCTGAGTCCCAGCATTGCGCCCAGTGCCCCAGGAAGGGCACGTCCCCGCTCATGGCCAGAGGATCACTCTGTGGAGGCACAGGTCACTCGTGTCACGGCAGACACCCACCTTTGCCTTTCTCGGGGGGCTTCGGCAGCGACGAGCTCACATATCCTTCCAGACTCAGGGGGTCTGTCTTCCTCTCCTCCTGCTTCTTGACGTGTCTCGAGTTCCCTCCTGAGGGGCTGGTGACATCAGACACACAAAACGGCTGCCCGGTTAGCTTCCAGAACTCTCTGAGGACGGGAGTCTGGGCGCTCTCGGCTCCCAACCCACCCCCAGGCAGCCCCCCATGCTGCCTCAGAGCAGGGAGCAGCACTGGACAGCCAGTGTGGCCCAGTGGCTGTCCAGCCAGTGTGGCCCAGTGGCTGTCCAGCCAGGGAGCAGGTGAGAGCAGGAAGCACCCTCCTCCCCACCAGGGGGAGTCGCTGGGGGGGTCTCTCCAAAGTCTCTGTTTAGGGCTCATTTATTTGGGCTCCACTGATTCCATGAGTGATACCAGGTGACTTTGTAAGAAAGAGGAAGAATAAAGTGAACGAATAAAATAACAAAGGAAAAATGAGGACAGAGAGAGGACAAAGCAGTGCGCGGCGATGTCCCCACCGTCGTGGGAAACAGACCACAGGGAGGACAGTCAGGAGGCCGGGGATGGGATGGCAGGGACCAGGCAGAGGGCGTCTCTGGGGCTGACCCTCGGGGAAGCCACCAGCATGTAATTCCCAGACAATGACACTAGAGGGACCTGGGGCAAACGTGGCCCCAGGACCAGGAGGCCCCGGTGATAGTTGTGAGTGAGCTCCAGGGCCCTTGCCAGCTGTGCCAGGCTCCCAGCCTTGTGTGGGCCTCACCTGGTGCTGGACGGCGCGGGCAGGGGCAGGCTGTGGGACTGCTCCAGGGTCCTGTGCTGGCTGGCCTCTGCAGGGGAAGGAAGGCCACAGGCTGTGTCAGCGTGCTCCGCGCTCAGGCAGCCTGTGGGGGCTGTGGACGGGCTCAGGCAGCCTGTGGGAGCTGTGGACGCCTGAGGGGACAGGAAGTGGTGGCCGGGCCCTCACCTCGACACGCCTGCAGCTGGCTGGTCAGCACCTTCCGAATCTCATTCACCCACGCGGCTTTAATTTCAGGAGTTGGTGCCTGTTCCCCCAAAGAAATGCAGGAGTAAGTCCCGGGTCCCCAGTGACATGCACTCTTGACACTTCCAAAGACTCTCCTGGGAATCCAGTCAGATCACTGCCATGAGTCAGAGGGACAGATGGGGACCCATTCGTGGGACGCTTGCCTTGGAGAGGAAAGGGCCTTGCAGCCGTGCCCACAGTCACCTGTCAGGAGGCTGGAGCTCTGGAGACCACCGTGGGGTCTCCCAGCAAACCTATGCTTAAGGGTCTCTGGGAAGCGGCCTTGACCCTCTTCAGGTGACAAGATCAGTGGCTGGTCTGAAGCCCACAGGTGGATGACAAACGGCCAGGTGGGGGGCCCGGGTTGGAGCCGTCACAGGGCTGCTGTGCAGGCTCAGGACAGCAAGAGGCCCTGGGCCCCTGGGCTCCCAGCCGAGTGCTTCCAGATGGGCTGCTCCTTGGGGGGCCGTGTGGGGTCTGAGCAGGGCCCCTGCTTGCCTCGGCTCTGCGGGGCGTTGGTGGCAGGGCTGGAGGGCATCCTGGGCTTCAGTGCTGCCTGCCCATGCACCCTGGCAGGGCCGTGTCATCCTTTGTGTTAGAATCCTGAAGAGCAAGTGGCCGGGCCCCGCCCCACATGTGGTCAGCCCCTCACAGGGCACTTGGGTCAACTAGGGCCTCAAGCCAAGGCTCTGTCCCGAGTCTACATTTCAGCTCCGGCTCCCCATCCGCTCAGCGAGGACAGTGCCACCACTTCTCCACCAGGGAACCAGGCCCTGAGACGAAGCCCTCTCCTGCGCAGCCCAGGGTGCAGGAGCGGGAGCGTCTCGGGAGTCGCTTCCAGCACCCTGGTCTCTCCCGAGTCCACCCTGGATCCTGCTCAGGTCCGTCACCCAGGGCAGAAGACACAAGGCCTATCGAGAGGGCTTTGACCGGCCGTCCTGAGGAGGAGGGCTCCCCTGCAGCTGGCCTGTGGACAGGTGAGTGCCCTACCTGGACGATGTAGACCTCCTCTCTCGCGTTGTACCAGATCTCAAACTTCTTGGCGTCACCCTTCACATTCTCTGTGATGCCCACGGCAGTCATCTGGTGAGTGCAGAATCAGAGACCGGTGTCAATGTCCACCGGCTTGAAGACATGGGGGGCAAGGTGGCGGGAACCCCAACTCTCAACCTAAAGACAACGCCCCTCGGTCCTCGGGTCCTCACCTGGTGCTGGGCACCAGTGCCCTCGGGGTCAGACCCAGGCTTTGTTAAACACCAACCCGGCCACAGGCGTCCCTCCCTGGGACCGCAGGTCTGCACTGCAGTCTCACTCACATTCAAGGACTGCTTGTAGCTGTAGGAGGGGGCCTTCTCATAGCCCTCCCCGTTCTCCTCCCGCTTCTTGCAGAAGAGCACGGCCTTCTCGTGCAGGAACAGGTGCCGCTGCATGGGCTTGAACCTGGCCAGCTCCTTCACCTTGGTGTGGCCCTTCTTGTGGTCTGTCCACACACTGAAGGAGCCCTGCATCAGTAGCTTCCCCAGGTCACTGAGGTTCCCCTGCCACAGGACAGAGCCCAGGGCGTCAGGGGCCGAGGTGGAGGCTGGGCAGCTTCCGCACACGCCGCTGAGCCAAGCAGCCCCGAGAGGCCACTTGCTATGGGGTTCCCAGCTCAGGGCACTCTCAGGAGCCAAAACCATGGGGACAATGAAAGGTGAGTGACTGCTGGGGACTGGGAGGAGGAGGGACATGAGGCAGACAGAGGGTTCTCGGGCTGTCAGACTGTGACACTGCAACACTGGACACAGAAGATTATGCATTATCCCAACTGTGGAATGCTCAGCCCCGGGAGAACACCCTCGACTCTGAGCCTCACATGACAGTGACACGTCAACACTGGCAGGTGTGCCACTACCACAAGACGTCAGTCACAGGAGGAGGGGTGGCATCTCTGCGTAAACAAGTCACATCTATTAATTTAACAAAAAATGAGATTGAGTGCCAAGTGGACAGGGGGCAAAGACTGCAGCGGCCTGAGACGGGCCTATGAGGGGCAAAGAGCAGTGTGCCTCTGATGGCCACTTGCCGTCAGTCGCCTGCCCCAAACCACACCACAGGAAACAGGTGGTCACAGCTGCTCATCAGGGACGGCTGTTGTCAGGGCAGAGTGGAGGGAGGAGGCGAGAACCCTGTCCTGCTGGAGACGCCGTGCCCTGGGGAGGAACGTTCCTGCCTCTCCCCACGTGCAGAGGGGCCCCATGTGGCCTCCTGCTCCTCTTAGGTCCACCCAGACCTCCTGACCCAGGACCCAAGACCCAGGCTGCCACCAGGTTCTGGGCAACGCCTGTCACCTCCAAGCTTAGGGAGCTTGGAGCTTGGAATCCCTGCAGGAAGCCCTGTGGAAGCCCCGCCCGGGCCTGGGTCCTTACGTCATAGCCGGTGATGGCGATGAGGTGCATGGAGTCGTTGACGGCCTTGAGGATGCCCAGGATGGAGCTCAGCGCCTCCTGCAGGTCCTCGGCCCCCTCGCAGTTCCTGCTGTACTTGAGCATTTCCTGAGGGCCGGCGGGGGACAGAAGGACCTGCTCACCTGGCTCCTCAGGACAGCTGGCTCCCCAGAATGCGGCCCCTGGACTGGCCCCAGCCAGCCTGGCGTGACTTCAGGCTGGGACACCGCCAGCCACCATGCTCGCACACTCTTCAGCAAGTGGCTGCCGGCTCCCTCAGCCAGCCGACCGCAGACAGGAGCACAGGCAGGGGCATGCCCGCGGCCCCGCCCCCCCAGCTCTCTCCTGCCAGGAGCCCCAGGGAAGACACAGAGTGGACGCTGGGCAGACCCGCAGAAGGGCTCTTCAGCTCACCCCTCCCCACTCCTGGATGGGCTGGGGGCCAGCAGGATCAGCAGGGCATGGCTCCGCCCTGAGGAGACTCATGGGCCTGTCTGCACAGCATCCTGCAGCTGATGAGCAGAAACCCGTGGGAGGGGGGTCTGTCCAGCTGTTGACCTCTGTCCCCGGCCCTGACCACGTCTAGCACACAGTGGGCCACACAAGTGGCCGATGAGCAGGGCCACAGCAAGGGGGAACCAAGTGGCTCAGAAGGTACCTCTTGGCTTGGAGGAAGGGTTTCGGGGGAAGAGGCCCAGGCCTGGGCCTGGCCGCAGGTGGGGGAGGCGGCCGGCCGGGGAGGCCCACCTTGAGCAGCAGCTGGTACTTGGTTATTCTCTGCACGGGCTTCAGCAGGTAGGAGTCCAGGCTCAGCTTGTGGTCCAGCTTCTTCTGGCACTCCTGGAACCACAGAGGCCTGGGTCAGACCACGCCCACGGTCCCTGGGGCCAGCCACAGAGGAACGGGCCCTCGGAAGGGCCCTGAGACGCACCTGGAAGAAGGGACAGGTGGAGCACTGTCTCCACAGGCTCTCGGAGCGGGGCTTGTTCTGACAGTACTTCTCGTAGATCTGGAAGTCCTCCATCTGCAGCCAGGGGACACACGTGTCAGATGTTCACCTGGAGGTGTCTGCCTGTCTCTGAGCATCGGGGGAACTGGGGCTTGGGGTGTGGATGGTCTGGGGCACCGTGACTTGGGGTGCAGACAGCTCTGTGGGCAGGGCAGTGCCGTGCTGCCTCTGACAGGGCTCATTTTAGAGAAGGCCAGGTTGGGCTCCCCACGGTCACCTCCACCTCTCTTGACTCAGCCTTCCTGGCCTGCCTTGGGCTTTCTAGATCTGTCCCTGGGCAAGCCCCTTGATGGATGCCGAGCTGGAAGACCACTGTGGGCTTGGAGGCAGACTGCTGGGCTGGGCCGGCTGCTGGGCTGGGCAGCCTCCGGTGGGCAGCTGCCCTGCACCTCTCCCACTGAGGGAACCCCTGCCCAGGGTCAGCAGACCGTGGGATCCCAGGATTGTGGGGCACTGAGAGCTTGGGGGCATGGGGCAGCCTGTACCCACCCAATCTTTGAGCCCAGGTCCCCCTGGCCCCCGGTGGCTGTGCCCCTCGTTGGCTGGCAGGTCAGTGACGCCTCCCGCCGAGCTCCAGTCTCACTATTCAGTTAGCTCAGTGTAGCTGGCTTCTCCCTCGGGAATAGCGGCTCCGAACAGACGCACACACACACTCTCTCCACAGAGAGTACTTCCAGGGCTTGACTTAACAGTAGTGGCCAAGCTCCAGGAGTGTCCATGTCCTGGGTGGGCTTAGTGGAACATGGAGGACCCTCCCCAGAGGCTCTACTCCCACCCTTCTCATCAGCTCTCAGGAGACGCTGCTGCAAGTTGGGACCACAGCCTATGGGAGGGTTCCCCACCCCTCCTGAGACAGCACCTAGGAACCGCCAATAGCCTGCTGGGCGGCCACAAGACGGCTCCTCCCTCCTTCCTGCCCACCTCTGGGTGCCAGCCTAGGACAGAGCCTCAGCCTCCAGCTCTTTGAACCGTTTAGTTTTTCTGCTGTCCGTGAGCTGCTGTCCAGGTGGCTAAGCTGTCTCTCCCAGTGCCCAACACGAGGGGACCCTCGGGTTGGGAGGCACCTGGCCCATCCCGACCCAAAGCTTCCCACAAATGCCTCCCGTGGAGCTGTCCCCACAGCCCTGGGAAGGAGGCAGATGCCAACGATATCAAAGAGGGGACAATAAAGCTGGGAACTCCAGAGCCTTGTCCAGTGCTGTCCAGCAAGTGGGGCCCGCAACCAGGGCAGGAAGCACCCCAGCTCAGGCGTGGCAGGAAAGCTCAGCTCCACGAGGTGCACTGGACCTGGGCACTGGAGCAGTTCCAGTGCCCAACGTCATGTTGGACGGCTTTCTCGGTTTTGAACTATCCCTTTGCCCCTCCAGGGAGTCCACGTCGCCTCAGCACCCTGGAAGCTCCTGTGCTCTGTGGCTGCGTGGGGGCGGGTGGGACCCCAGTGGAGCCCGAGGTTCCGGTGTCCGGCAGCTGGGAGCCGCGGTGGGTACGCACCCTTTCGAGGAAGCACCTTCCCACCAGCTCCGGGCAGTCCGTGCAGCGTTCCAGCTCCCGCAGGAAGACCCTGGACAGGGAGGCCCAGGAGGCCTGCTGAGTCTCCGCACCACACCCAGGGCCCAGCCACACCCACCCAGCGGCCCGTTTCCAGAAGACCTGCAGCTGTCCTCTGGATGGCCCAGGACTGTGTGGTGCCAACGCCCACCAGGCCTGGGGACCCCGCCGCCCAGCCTGACCCCGGCTCCTCCTGTGCGCAGCCTCAGACTGTTCACCTCGGGTCAGGGGCGGCACTCGCAGAGGACACAGCTGCTTTGCCATCAGCAGGAAGCAGCAGGAAGTTAGAAGAATCAGGTGGGCAGTTAGGGGCTCTGGAAGCCCCTGCCCCTGAACCTGTGGGCTTCCTGCAGACACACCGAGGGGCCCTCTCCTCGGCTCCAGGGTGGGCTTTCCTCTCCAGATTTCTGGCTGGCATTTGCCCCTGGGGGAGGGGAGCTGCTGGGGTCCACCCTGGATGCCGGCACTAGAGCTCTGACCGGTGCCCAGGGACAAGGGTGCTACGGAGCCTCACGGCCACTGGCAGGTGGCTGGTGGGCAGGAGGCACAGATGACAGAGGAAGGAGCAAGTGGAGGGACAAGTATCTTGGTACTGCTCTGACCAGGTCCACCCAGGCTGGGCCTGGTTCCAGGACCCAGGGACGTGCTGTCCACCTGTGGGCCTTCTGCATGCCCTGCATGACAGTCGGCTCGTTCGTCTTCTCTCTCATGAGCTCCCAAAACCCACAGTGAAAGGAGCCGAGCAAGCAGCCCAGCTGTACCCGCTGTGCACTGCCCAAGCCACAGAGAGGCAGCTGTGCTCCGGGGACAGCAGCACCCTGTGTTCTCGGGGGGACAGCAGGGAGGGGACGTCTGGGCTTAAGGACAAAGTGCATCTTGCTATGTGGTGTGACCTTTAGGGCCCCAAAGCAGCAAATGCACATCCTTTTGGTGGGGACCAGGAGGAGGACAGAGGGGTCCGGCCCACTCCTGGCTCCCGGCACCACAGTTCTCTGGACGGCTTTGCCACACGGGGCCACCCTGGGCACTTGTCAGCAGAGCAGGCCCAGGAGGGCTCTCAGATGCGCTGAGCGGCCACTGCCTCTGCGCTCTCTGTGCCTCAGGCCCTGGAGAGATCTGTCCCTATCGAGCACAGACCAATGGCTAGCAGGTCCCGGCTGCCTGGGAAGGGAGAGGCCACAGGGTGTGTGGGGCAGAGGAAGGCCCCACCTGTTATGAAAGTGATAGATCTCCTCCATATTTCCAAACAGAACGTCCTTCTTGTTGTGCAGGCCAGTCGAAATGAGGTGCGTCATCAAAGGATTCTCCATCTCAGCCGCGTAGCCCTGCGGGAGAGGGCAAAGCTCAGCAGGAGCACCAGACCCGGAGATGCAGGTCAGGCAGGAGTGGACGGGTGAGCTGGGGGCGCATGGCTGTCTCTGAGCTGGGCCTCTGAACAAGGCCCTCGGCACAGAGTGGGTCACCAGCAGCACCCAATAGGGGCCTCCTCCTTCCTCTTGAGCCTTTTTATTCAAATTCACACAAAGGGCGTGGACCTCTCTGCACCTGCAAGACTAACCGTGCGTCTGCTGCCAGGAACCTCCCGTTCACTCCTAGAGTGCTGGGCCCAGCAGACCCTCCCCAGGTGCCCCAGTAACCTCTCGCCCTAGACTGCCTGGTTCCAGAACTTCCCATAAGCAGAGCTGCACACTCTTGGGCCACCTCGTGCACTGTCACTAGCCTGTCAGGTGTGCCGGGTGTATTAATGGCTCTGGGCTGCTGAAGCCTCCGTCCTGGGCAGACCTACGCTCTCACTCTGTCCTCCCTTCTGTGGACACGGAGTGCGTCCAGTCGGGCTGCTCTGAGCCACGTGGCCTTGGGCATCTCAGGTGCTTTTCCATGGACACAAACTTGCATTGTTTCCCAGCGAAACCACCGGGGGAGAGTGGACCCTCCCCCTGAAGCAGGAGCCTCACCTCCAGGACAGAGAGCAGCTCCTCCACGTAGGCCCGCTCGGTGTCCAGGAGCTCGTTCATCACGTGCCTGTGGCCGGGGCATGAGGACAGCACACGCGTGAGGCCGGGCAGCAGCAGTCCTGGGTCTCGAGTCAGGTGGTAGGTAGATAAGCTACCAGTCCAACGAAAGGGCTGGCCCAGCGGAGGGGCTGCAGGGGAGCTGAGCCCTCTGGACACTTGTCAGGGCTCCCCTCGCTGCCCTGGCCTCACACCCCTTGCTGGCCACCTCTGGTGCTGCCTTCCAAGAGCAATCCCCTGACCCACGTCCTGGCCTGGGGGTTCCCTCTGCAGAAAAGCAGCCCTGTCCTCATGCACACTGTCATCAACACCCCTCCCTCTCCCCCACTAGGCGGCCCCACCTCCCAGGGCCTCCAGCTCCCCCTGTGGGCACCTCCTGTGCCCGCTGAGGCCTGGGCCTGGCTCTCCATTCCTTCTGTCACCCAGCCAGCTCCCCTCCTGCAGGTAGGCATGCAGTGGCCCTGTGGACTCACTCTGTCCCTCAGCTGTCCCCCGAGGGGGACGGCTTACAAATAAGGCATTCAGGACCAAGCCTCCCTGTTAGGGCAAATGACCAGCCCGCCACGCAGTCCACAGAGACCAGGGTCAACGGCCCCGGACTGCACTTAGGTGAGGTCCACGCTGAGCAGCCGGCAGCACTGAAGGCCCCCGCTCTGCAGGTGAATGTGGCGGCCGGGAGGGACCCGGGCCACCCCATGGCCACAGCCTGGATGGTGCAGGGGTCGCTGATCTCCGGCCTGTGCTTCTGTGTCTGGAAGCCTCTCCCACGCCCCCTTCTCCCCTCTGCCCGTTAGTCTCTGCCAGAGGGAGCAGCGGCAGGTCTGTCCCTCGCTGGGCCGCTTTAGTCTGCTTCCACGTTTCTGTCCTCCACCCCTTCAGAGGGCTCTGCAGTGGGTGCTGGGGACACCCTGCCCTCTGCTTGTCCCTGGGGTCCCGAGAGACCTAAAGGAGCCAGGTCAAGGGCCCCTGGCAGGCTGCTCAGGGAAACAGGGAGAGTGCAGACGTCCAGGGCACTGGGCAGCGGGCTGTCCTGCACACCGTCAGTTGGCCTCCTTCTAACTGCTGATGTGCCCACCAGGTCTGGACTGACCGTCCTGCACTGTGGGTCACGGCTTCCTTCCACTCAACCTCCTGAGCTCCGCTGCCTGGCTCTGGTCACCACCTGGAGTGCTTGGCCCCCCAGCCGTCCTCCCTTGAAGCTGAGTGGTCAAGACAGGGAGGTGCTTTTTGACTGCACCACAGTCCATGAACCTGGGACCTGGGTCGCTGGGGACAAACGGCTCCAGGAGGTATGTCCAGGGCCGGGCTGCCCTCGCCGTGCTCTGGCAGTGTGTGGTCACTGATGACAAAACCTCAGCCACGGACCCTAGCTGGCCATGCCCACCTGCTTGCGCTGCCCTTGGGGCCGTGGCTGCTGCAGGGACGTACTGGCCTGGTGCCCTGGTGAGCCTCCCCTTAGCTGGTGGCTAGTGGAGTGGTCATGGATGCCCGGGGACGGTCTCTCCCTGGCTCCACTCCTCCTCTCCCTCAAAACTGGGCCCCAGCGGTTTCCTTCTTTCTGTGGCCCCCGCAGGGCGGCCCAGGAGGCAGCACCTGGCCGACACTGGCCATCCAGGGTGTAAGGCAGCGGCTCCCGATCCCTGACACTCCCGGGGCAGTGCTCGCCCCAGGCTCCCCCATTCCACACACGACCTCCTCAGAGGCCAGGTGGACGCCAGGCCAGGGGACTGAGCCTGGTGGGAACAGAAGGGTGCTGGTGAAGGAAGTCCTGGCCGCTGGGCCTCGCTGCAGGTGGAGGGACGGTGGGTCCTGGTGGGGTGTGTCTGAGCTCAGAGCCTGGCCTGTGACGCACAAGCCCAGGGGCCTGCAGCCTCTGTGGGGGCAGGTGGGCGGCCAGCTCAGTGGAGGGTGAAATCCTCCGAAGTGACAGGTGGCCCGGTCAGGAGAAGCCAGTGGAGCTGTCCAAAGGCCACGCGGGATCTGTGTGTGCAGCCGCAGCCACAGTGTGCCCCGCTCTGCACGCTCCTGCTCCCTTCCCGCTCTGCTCGGCACCGTCCGGCACTCACCACACCCAGGCCTGGGGTGCCGGCGGAGAGCGGCCACCCACCTGCGCAGGATGGCCAGGCCCTCCTCCTCGTCCCCCGTGGAGCTGTCCCGGCCCTGCCGATTCTCACTCATTTCACTCTGAGGAGAGGAGAACAGCGAGTCGGCGTTGGAATCAGTGGGAGCACCTCAAGGACCCAGGGCCAAAGCCAGGGCCCTGCCCGGCTCCCGTCTGGGCGTCGGAGGAGAAGGAGCCCACAGGAGGCTAGCCAGGAGGGCTGGGGCGGGCCCAGGAGGAGTGGAGGCCCTTCCCTGGGAGCCATGGCCTTGGGCATGGAGATGGGGCTGAGGTCAGGTGCGGGCAGCCTCACCTTGGCCCTCCTGTAGGGCCCCCTGCGGAGCGCGCTGCCTTCAGGGCCAGAGTTCTCAGATCCCCGCCAGGAGCCTGGTTTGGAGGAGGTGGGGAAGGGGCGTTAGCTCTCCCTGGGGAGGGGACACAAGGAAAAGGCCCAAGGAAAGGACAGAAGCCACGAGGGGGTGGACACAGTGATGAACTGGCTGGGGTGGAAGGAAGGGACGGCCCCGCTGACCAGCCTCCACAGCCCGGGGACAGAGGCGCTTGCAGCCGAGGGGGAGCAGGGTGGGTGAGGAAGGAAGCTCGGGGCGTGGACCCCTGGAGCCCCAGCCCAGCAGGGCTCCACAGGCCAGGAACAGCCCTCTGCCCACACCAGGGAGGTGGGCCTGGCGCTGGAGGCCTGGTGGGGCTCCTGACTGGTGTTGCAGACACCCGAGGCCAGGGCAGGGGTTCCCAGGACCACTGTCTCGTGGCATCCTCTGAGAAGGCCCATCGAGGGGCCGGGAAAGTGCTTTTGATGCAGGGAAGAGGCGGGAAAGAGCCTGAGCAGGGGCGTGGTGCCCGCCCTGGCCTGGAGAAGGGCTCTCTTGGGATCGGGACGCAGGGGTTGGCAGGCCATGGAGCCCTCCGGCTGGCACAGTCTGGACCCGGCTAGGCTGGGGAGAGACCCTCGAGTTCTCCTAGAACTCTGCACTGCTGTGGTCTCAGAGCAAAGGAAGAGTGCGGCCGAGTCCCCATAAACCTGAGCCCAGCCAGACTGGTGGGGAGCGAGGAGCCACGAGGGGGCTGCACCTGGGGAGGGGCAGGGCGACTTGGTGAGTGCCTCCGGCCGGGGGGCCACGGGCTGCACGGGCCGGGTCTGCTTGGCCGCCAGCTTCTTCAGGCTCGCCTGCCGGCGGTGGAACATCTCCTGCATGCTCTCTTGCTTCTGGAAGACTTTCTGCACGTGATCCTGGGAGGAGAGAGCTGCTAAGGGTCTGCAGTGTCGGCAGCAGCCCCCAAGCACCCCGTCCGACGGGAAGGCGCTTCAGCGTGGCCACACCACACGGAGTCCTGGTCACTGAGGACGCGCACCAGCTCTACTGGGGACCTCCTCCGGAGCTGGCAGGGCCAGCTGTGGGAGGTGGAGTCCATGTCTCTGTTGCCCAGAGGGCGGGGCTTGGGAGATACAGGGCTGCTGTGTCAGGAGGCCCTCAGGCAGCCTGGGGTCAGAGGAGGCTACTTCATAAAGAGCACCCCCAGCACAGGGGGCGTCTGGTGGGACGCAGGTACCACTGTGCAGGTGGCAGGGGGTGACTTCTGCTCTGAAGGCAAGGCAGAGCGGGGTGACCGCCGCCTCTGCACTTCCCTCCTCGCCCTATCTGCTGGTCGTGAACCCAACGTTTCTTTCAAACATCCTGCAGAGGACTCCCCACCCTGGGCGCCGAGGACAGGGCAGGCTGCCTTACCAGCAGGTCTGGGTTGAGGATGGTCTCGTATTCCTTGTAAATTTTACTGAGCTCCTGGATCTTATTTTCCTCGCCAGTCTCCAAAAACTTCTCAATCTCCTGAAGGGCAGCCTCGGCGCCGTCCTGAGACTGGCATTTGTCCACAGGCTGGGAGGCCAGCAGGTAGATGCCCTCGTCGCACCACTTCATGGACTGCAAGCAGAACACTGCGGTCAGAGGCGCACCGTTCCCACCCACCACGTCCGCCCCCCCCTCGCCTCTGTCCATTGAGAGAGACACCTGCAGGAAGGTCCAGGCACGGACCCCTGATCCTTCTACCACTAAGTACCAAGGGCCACTGCAGGGGTAGCATGTTCTGCAGAGCCCGGGGGGTTCCCAGGACTGGACTCCCTCAGGGAGGAAGGTGGCTGGTGGAACTGACCAGGCTACCAAGTTTCTGGTCCTTCTAAGTCAATCATTGCTGTGGCAAGAGAACTGTGGGAACAGAACTCTGCGTGGACCTGACCTCTAGGTGGACAAGGAGGAGGAACACAGAGAGGAAGGGCGAGGGGACTCTGCAGCCGGTGCCTGAGCAGCCAGCCCAGGGGTCAGTGGTCCGGGGCGTGTGGCTTGACCCCTACCGTCTCCAGCAGGCGGTGCAGCTCTTGGGACTTGCTGAGAAGCGCCCGTCTGCTGCCGATCTCCGTGGCAAACTGGTGGCACAGGTGCTGGAGCTCCTCGCACTTGGGGTGGATGGAGTCCACGGCATAGTGCTTGTTCTCGATGAGCTGCTGGCCCTGCTGGGCCAGGGCTCGGGCCCGCTCCACGGCCACCTGCAGGACACAGCCACCCAGTCAACACCTGACCCTCAGAGCTGGTGCGGCTGTGGGAGGGGCATCTACAGGTGCCTGAAGGCCACCTCACGCCCCAAGCTAGGCTGGGCTCCGGGGGGCAGGCATCAGAGACCCGGCCCAGAGGAGGCACAGGGTTCTGAGAATGGATTCAGAGGGACGTGTGTCGGGGTCCCTGACGCGCAGGTGAGCAGCATGGGGTCCCCGTGCCCCTGCCGTGGTGCCCCGGATGGCAGCACAGCCCAGGCCCTGACCTCCTGCAGCCCGGGCACCTCCCCACCCCACGCCCAGGCCTGGTTCTCACGCTGGACTTCTCTTCAAAGCTGGCCAGGCTCCTCAGCAGGTGCTCCACGTGGGCCAGGCTGTTGCCGATGTCAGTGAAGGTGGCTATCTTCTGGGACGCCGTGTCCAAGGTGGCTTTGACCTGCAACGGAGGGGCCGTCTCAGAGAGCCCGGAGCGGGAGCCCAATCTGGGCACGCCAGGCTCGGAACAGTCTGCGGGCTGCGGGACCTGCCGGGTGGCCCTGCCGTGGCCTGCCAGAGGGGCCCAGGCTCCTCAGCTGATGCACGGGGGGCCCCTGGGGCCAGGCACCGTGGGTGTCCTCTCGCCCCCACAGGTCTCGGCGTGCGCAGGAGGCCCGTGGCTCACTCCCTTCCCGCCTGGCGCTGGCAGGAAGACGGCAGGCTGCGCACCCTGATGTGTGGAAGGACTGCCCGCTTCTCCCCAGCGTCCCCCTTCAAACCCAGCTCTCAGGAGCTGGTCCTGAGACCCAGGGTGGGCAGGGTGCTGACCGATCCCCCAGCAGCGCCTCCCAGGCCCGGCTCCCGAGAAGGCCACGCGGGCAGCAGGGGAGGGAGAGCGGTGAGCACGCCCGGGCGCGAGGCTTGCAGGTGAGCCTCCCCAGGGAGCCCAGCCAGGAGCAGACACCGGGGCCACGTCGGAGGCACGGGCAGTGGTCGGAGTCCTGGCAGCTACAGGGTCCCCTCTCAGCCGGGGCTCCGGGGGGCCAGCACGTGGAGACGCGTGAGGGCCACAGGCCTCCCTCCTGGCTCCCTGGATATGTGCCCGAGCTCGTCCTGTGCTGATGAGGGCCAGCAACTCAGAGCAGCGGTTCAAGGTCTCTGCGCGGCGAGCAAGGGGCGACGGGGAGTGGGGGATGTGTGTGTGTGTCGTGGGCCACAGGTGACGACATGGCACGTGTGCGGTGAGACCTCCGCTCAGCACCCAGAACCATGGCCACAGAGCTGTGGAGAGAAACCCCTGCAGACAGCTGAGCGGATTCTACACAAGGCTGCTGTGAAAGCAGAGCCCGGGGACAGAGCGCAGGCGTAGGCCAGACGCAGGACACCTGGCCAGCACCCTCAGCCGGGCAGCAGGGGCTGGGAAACACAACCACTCGAGCCCACGCATGAGACTCTCACCTCAGCCACAGCAGAAGGGGCAGGAAGAAGTGGAAGGACGGGAACATGCCACCCGCCCCAGGGGAGGCAGGGGGTGTGGGACATGGGAGGCAGAGCCGGGGCAGCTTGTGACCGTGACACGGAAGCCCAAGTGCGTCGCACGGCAGAGCTGCACAGTGTGAGCAGAGGCTGTGGGGCCGCGAGCTGCAGGCTTCCAGGACCTCTGGACGGCTCACATCCACCAGACGGGGCTGCCGAACCCCGTCCACCATCCAGTGGGAGCCTGTAGACGTGCAGGGACGCTCCGCCTGACGCCAGGACACACCCCCCTCCAAGTGCCTGCCAGGACTCGCGTGAGGGTCTGTGTCCTGGGCCACAGGACACACCTCACCAAGAACTGGTGTTGCTCTCTGGTCACAGCAGCCAGGCTGGACCTCAGAGGAACCTCTGATCCTGTGGGAACGGAGCCCACGATACCAGCAAGTCACCCATGGCTCCGGGGAGATTTAAATGTGCACATCAGAAAAGAGGAATATTCTCAGATAAATAGTGTAAGCTCTCACCTCAAGAACCCAGAAAGAGAAAACTAAAATAAACTCAAAGCCATCAGGAGAAATGGTTCATAAGGATAAGCAGGAAATCGACTAAACCCCAAACAGGGAGCAACCGAGAAACCGGTGAAGTGAAGACCTGGTCTTTGAAAGACGAGTGCGACAGGTCCCAGAAACACCGAGGGAGAGGACGTGACAACCAAGACCAGAGGCTGAACCAGCCACCGCGGGCCTGAGCGCAGGGGCCCAAGGAAGGCTAGGAGCAGCCTCAGACGAGGGACGGAGAGGACCAGTCCCAGGCAGGCTGCACGTCCATCCAGGGTGAACTGGGCGGAGATGGCAGGCTGTGAGGACAGCTCTCGAAGGCGTCTCCTGCTGTGGGAGGCTGTCCCGACTGTGAAGGTGACCATCTGTGACTGTCCTCTAGAACACCTGAGACCAGCGTCCCAGTTCATCCTACGAAGTCGACCCTCCCCTGACAGCACAACCAGAAAAAGACAATTGTAAGAAAGGGGGGAAGCAGAATAAAGAACGCTGTGGACGTCCAGGCATGGCGGTGAACCCCTGGAACCCCAGATTTGGAGGCTGAGGCAGGAGGATGGCAAGTTCCAGGTTAGCCTCAGCAACTGAGTGAGACCCTATCTCAAAAAAGAAAAAAAAAAGTGGTAGGGTGCAGCTCAGTGTAGAGCAATTCCTAGCATGTACCAGGCCCTGAGTTCGACCCACAGGTCTTAAAAAAAAGAGAAAAAGAAAGAAAAAAATCGTAGAACAACTCCATCCTCATGAATATGGACGCAGAAATTCTTAACAAAATATTCTCAAATACACTCCAGCAATAACTAAACAACACCTACGATGACCACACACCACGGCCAAGTAGATGTGTTTCTGAGATGCATGGCTGATCCAGAATTTGAAGCTCAACCAATACAATTAGTCATATCAACAGGTTACAATAGGAAAATCACATGATCACCTCAATCAACGGGGAAAAGCATTTGAGAAAACGCAGCATCCCTTTGTGATTTTAAAATCTCTCACAGAAGAGGACTAGAGGGACGCTTCCTCAACCTGACAGAGGGCACCCACAGTGGAGACCAGATCTTTCCCCGGGCCTGGGGGCAAGGCCAGGACGTCCACCCCTGTCTCCCACCACTCTCATCCAATGGAGGAAAGCTCTGGTCAGCGTCACAGGGAAAGAGAAATAAAAAGTGTGAAAGTCAAAGAGCAAGAAAACGAAGCGTCCGTCTTTGCACAAACACGATGGAGACTCTCGGGCTCCCCAGAGAATGCTGGAGTAGGCGTCCAGTGGGGTCGCAGCGCACCCGCATCCCTACACCCAACAGTGACCACGCGCACTGGAATGAACGCACCGCCCGGCTGTGTGAGCCTGCAGAACTTACACCGACTCGGACTCGAGACGTCCTGACCCAGGGTGCTGAGGACTGCACGCACCGAGGACAGACGTCGATCCAACCGGTGGTGAGGACAACCTGCGGGCGGCCTGGGAGGCTCGGAGACGTCCCTCACCCCCAAATGCAGGCCTAACACAATTCCCAGCAAAGCTTTTTGTAGAAATAGACAAGACTCTTTAAAAACCCAAATGGAAGGTAAGGAAGCTAGGCTGTCCAGCAAGCAGCGCAGAGCAACTGGACACCCAGGGGAGGACAGAGCCGTGCTCTGGTTCTCAAAACACAGACCAAGGACCTCAGCAGGGAAGCAGAGTTCAGGAAACACAGCTTAGGGGGACACATTCGCAGTTGAAAACCAAAAGTGTGATCCATAAAAGGAAAGTCGGATGTCATCAAATCAAAACAATATAAAAGGTCCTATTAGGGAAACAGAGAACAAGGTCCCGGCTGGGGAACATGTGCGGACCAGGATCCGACCAGGCGCTGGGATCTGAGGGGCGCAGAGCACTCTCAAACCTGAGCAGAAGAGGAACTCAAGCAAACCATGCAGGCAGGGCATGGCCATGGCTCTCGGGGACCTCCACCAGGGGGCGCCGAGGAAGCGCGCCCAGCAGAGGATGCTCAAGTCTCAAGGGTTAGGCGCTGGTGGCGCCCACAGAACGCCCACGTGAGGGGAAGGCTGGTGAGGATGGGTACAGACTGGACGGCTCAGGCCACCGTGGAACCCGAGTGTTGTGGCGCCTCTGGAAACCAGCGGTTTCTGACACACTGGACATGTGGCCCTCTGAGCAGTCTCTACAGAGTGTGTCCCTACCGGCGCCAGGGTGTGGGTGTCCACAGCAGAAGAGCCCCAGGGTCACTCCAAGTCCAGCAGGTGGATGGCGAGGGTGTGTATGACCGTGGCAGACACTCAGGATCAACAGGAAGGGTACACGCCCAAACTGGGCGACCCTCCAGGACGACCCTGAGAGAAGCCAGTCCCCAGGGGCACTCAGAGAGGCCACGGTGGTGGGAGAAGGGATGAGGCAGTGTGACTACAGGGGCAGGATCCTGTGTCCTGACAGCACAGCTTTCAGGGTCCTGGCTGCCCTGCCCTGCTGCAGGTGGTCACCACGGGAGCTGGGCAAAGGTCCAGGGGTCACCTGGGCTGCTCCTGACAACCGCAGGCAGACTGTACCTACCCTAAGGAAACAGTGGGACAGAGGCACCTCCTGCTCTGGAAGCCTTCCTCGGGTCCCTGCAGAACGCAGCGCCCTGGCTTCTTGGAGGTGTGCTGTGTGCAGACGCAGCCTGCAGCCTGGCCTCTCAGCCCCGCGGCCTGCAGCCGCCGCAGCTCACACTCACCTCGCGGAAGCCCTGCTCAAAGTGCCTGAGCTGCAGGCACTGCTCCAGCTTCTGCTGATGCTTTGCCCAGAACTCATGGAAGGCAGCTTCGGTCTCATTCAGCTGGGCCAGAAGCCTGGGGAGAGGAGGAGGCTGAGAGGCTCCAGGGCGACGTGGGCGGCCTCATCTCCAGGCCTGGCCGGGGCCCTTCACCCGACCAGAGCGGAGGAGTGGGCTGCGACCGGCAGGGCTGGGCGGGGGGGGGGCAGGGTCTGCTGCCGCTGTCCTCGGGACCTGGGGACCCCGGCTCCCAGCACAGCTCTGGTGGGACCTGGCCACCTGGCCCTCCCCACGCCCACCTGCGGGTGTTCTCGGATGGCCTCCTTGACAGAGGAGGACACTGATTCCTCGGGAAGTTGAGGAGTGTCCACCACGGAGCTGGCTGGACCTCCGGTGGGTCCTGCACCAGCTCTCGGTGGGCGTCCTCCATGGGCCTCCCCTATCCCCAGCCCAGCACGCCTACTCTGCATGTGACCAGGGCCAGGTGGGAGAAGACCAGGCAGCAAATCCAGGAGAATCCGCCTCCGTGCCAGGTGGGCCGCGGCCATGGCACTGCTGGGTGAGGCTCCACACAGGTGCTTGGCCCCTCCTCACCTCGGGGGGCGACACCCTGGCTCGCGACACCCACTGTGGGGAGCACTGCCCTGCCCTGTCCCCAGGCTGAGGCCCAGGGAAACGCACAGGTCCCACCCTCTGCAGTGAAAGATGCCCGTTTCACCAGAGGCTGAGCTCGAGGCCCGGGCTGTGGGGTGGAGAAGCCTCAGGCACTGTTCCCAGGCCCCTCCAGTGTCTCTCCCACCCACAGCGGGGTAGGGGGTCCACCCTGGGCTCTTAGGTCCACAGAGGCTGTGCGGGCTCTGCTGCCCGGGCCTGGCAGGGCAAGGGAGGGTGCCGGGCCTCACCTCTGCACGGTGGCCTGGCTGTCCAGCTGATCCTGGTTGACGCTGTGCGCGGTGCTCTCCGCCAGGGGCTCTCTGAGGCTCTCGAGGAGGCGCTGCCCCTCCTTCTGGGCCAGCTGCAGGTCTTCCTGTGGGGAGGCAGCCTCACACTGCAGCCCGCAGCCGGCACTCGGCGCAGGCCGGGAGCCAGCAGACCTGGGCGTCCTGCACGGCGGACAAATCCCTCCCTTCTGCCGTGGCTGCTCCCAAGTCCCACTCGCACCCGGGCAGGAGGGAGGCGGGGCCGACTCGCACGCCTGCCGGCACGGGTAAGGTTGCAGGCCCCTAGGCGTCAGGGAACGGGAAGGTAACTGAAACCTGGCCCCTGCCCTCCCTCTCACGGCCGCCTTGCTATGCGGGGCACCAGGCCCAGCTTGGAATGACAGTCCACCTGGCAGAGATGGGTGCAGCCCGTGGACACACCAGGTCACAGCCATCGGCACGGTTGTTTCAAAGCTGTCAACGTGACACTGCCCAGGGCGCAAGTGACGCAGGATGTATTCACCCCAGAGAGCCAGTGGCGGGCGAGAGCCGGGCACTTTAGAGAGTGGCTCACCCCCTCTGTCTCCGCCGCCCAGTGGCTGCTGGTGAGGGAGCTGGGCAGGAATCCTGCCTGGTGCACCCTCCGGCGGAGGACTGGAGACCCAGCGGCCTGCCTCCAACCTGTCCTCGGGGTTCATGGCCCCTGCTGGACAGGAGCGGATGCACAGCCCCCCTGCCCCCGGCCGTGACCACACGCGTGGCCTGTGCTGGGGCTGCTTGGGAGGGTGTGACTGGCGCTCCCTGGTGCCGGGAGGACTCAGAGCCCTCGCACCTTGGTCTGCCTGAGCTGCCCCACACCCCGCGTCCATGGGAGGACGGCTGCGTGGTCTGAGCTCCGCCCCCGTGCTAGAGTACCTTCGCCTTGTCCTTCTTCTCGGTGTGGGTGCTGAGCACTGAGCTGGTCGACTGGACGTCATTGGGCAGTTCTGTTTCCGCCAGCTCAGTCCCGAAGGACTGCAGCATCTGAGCCGTCTGCTTCACCATGAGCGCGAAGCTCTCGATCGCCTGGGAGGAGGGAGAAGAGGTCAGGGAGCCCTACCGCTACGCTCTGAAAGCAGACACCTGACCACCCTCAGAAGGGGAGGCCCGCAGAGGCACCTGGCAGCAAGCGCCCTCCTGCGAGTCCTCAGAAACGAACCGGGCAGGCCCTACCAGCACGGGCACCCCCTAGTCATCCCGAGCTGCAGGGCTCCCTGCCTCCCTCCCTCCTTGTGGAGAGAAGTGTGAGAGTCACAGTACACAACGCACGGTTTGGGGCTCTCTGTCTTCTTGTGTCTCCAAGCCCAGATAAAGCCACTCCCAAACTTATTACTCATGCCGTTTCTTCACGATGACTAAGGTCCACTGAGACCATCTCCTCATCTCAGGGAAGAAAACTTGGTAATGGGAATGTGCTTTTGGAAAAGGCCGCTCTGCTGGGTTAGCTGTGGGTCAGCAAGGACGCAGCCCCCAGAGCCCCCAGACCCACTCACCGTGCGGTGGCACAGCCACCTGGAGTGGCAGTAGTCCAGGGTGCCTCCGAGGTCCTCGGTCAGCTGAGACTTGTCGATGTAGCCGTGCAGTTCTGGCACTGAGCTCAGCATTATGACCTGGAGGACACAGAGGCCCATGAGGAGAACACCCTGCATACCGGGGCGGCGGCCACTTGCCCTGGAGGCCGCGGCCATGGCAGGGCTGGTGGCGAACGGCCATGCAGGAGAGAGGCCAGGGTCTGATCCCAGCTCCACCCTGCAGCTGGCTGACCGGGCGAGCCGCTTACTCCCTCCGTCTCCACCTCCTCATCCGCCAAGTGGGCACCCAGTGATGGGTCTGACCAGGAACACGCAGAGGCTCAACAGAGAGCCCGGCAGGCAGGGACAATGACATGTGATGGGTGTCTTGCCAGGGACACTCGGCATGCCAGCCAACGGCGCTCTCAGGCAGAGAAGGAACCCTTCGTCCCTCTCACTGGACACACCACGAGGTCCTCATGGGAGCTGACGGGGACCAACGCAGCCCCAGAGTCGGGCCACCACACTGGAGAGTGTCTGACGGGCCCCGAGCTCCCCTTCCTGGGAGCCTGTGGCTCCACGGCCGAGTGGACTCCTCGGCGCGGCCTGTCTTACGCCCCTCTGTGCCTCTTCCCTTTCTCAGGTCCTCCAGTCCATGCGTTTCAGATGGAAATGTCACCTGGGCCTCGAGGGCTGGCAGATGGGCACCACCGGCCAGGCCTGCGGAGGCTCGGCTGACACGTCAGTGGACACCTCGTCATGAATTATTAAGCCACTGCACTGGCTGGAGGGGGCTCTTGTCTGGGGTCCGTTTACTTCCAGGGACATGTGAGGAGCCTGGAGACACTTAGGGTTGCTACAGAGGGGACGTGCCCCTGGCATTGGGCAGGTGAGGGCGGGGCGCTGCGGAGGCCCCGGTGGCACAGGGTGGCCACCGCGGAGCTGCACTGCAGAGACGGCTGGGGAGGTGCCACGTGCAGGACCCTGTCTGGGCCTGTGTCTCAGCTTCGCCTAGAAACAGTGCTCAGTGGAGCTCACGCTTCTCTCTGTGTTCTTCTAATGAAGTTATTCACTGGCTGCCAGATAACCCTGGCTCAGGGCTGGCCTGGGCAGCCCAGGGACATGGTCCCCTCCTCCACGACTCCTGCCTCTCAGTCACGCCCTGCCCAGGAATTGTGTGTTCTCAACCCCGAGGGGACAGGAGCCCGCGGCTGGGCTTACGAGTCTCTCCATACACAGCCCTGCGTCCTTCGGACGACCTTGCTACAATTCCAAAGTCCCCTCTAAAGAGGGCCTGGGAGTTTGCAGATGCCAGGGAGGGTTTCACGGGCCGGTCCTGACAACCTGCTCACACACAGGAGGTGCCAGTCGGCAGAGCCGTCCGACAGGGACAGCAGGCCCCCTGTCTTGCTCCTGTGACACATCCCAGGGCGCAGTCTGCTGTCACCATGGTTCACTTGCCGCCCTCGGTGATGTGCATCACAAGGCCACAGACAGGTTGCCTGCCCCGACTGGGCCAGAGGCCCCACCTGCGGTTCTGCCCTTCCTCAGCTCAGGAAGCCGGTCCCAAACACCTCAGACGGAGCCCGCTGCTCCAGGCCCCACCGCTTGGCCCACCCAGACCCATGCAGCCTCACTGGGCCTCGGGCTTTGCAGAGTGACGGCCTGTCCCTCCACGGGTCCACGACAGCCTCTGGGCATGGGTGATCCTCAGGGAGGACCACTGTGGAGGTGGGTATGGCCAGGCACACAGATGGGGACAGGAGGGTTCAGGCCCCACACTCCCCATTCTGCTTAGAGAAGGGCTCTTGCTTTGTCCAGAGCAGAGGACGGCCAGGGAGCAGCATGTGAGGGGCAGCAGGGGCTAGTGGGGTGGGGCAGAGCGGCATCTCTGCCCGTGGCCCTGGAACACCCACTGCCTGGGTCCCTCACTTCCCTGAAGCCATCTGGGTGGCTTTCCTGGGGTCTTCAGCGGGGCCTGGCCTAGCCCCTGACTCTTGCTCTGTTTGTGAAAGAAGTGCGTTCACAGGGCTGCTGCTCAGCGGCCCTGGACAGCTGCCCACAGGGAGTGCACTGAGTGGCTGACCACCAGGCCTCCAGGACTTCCCAGAGCCTGTGTTTAGAGGACGGTGCAGCAGTGCTTCAGCGTCCCTTCTGTGGGCGGCACAAGGGTGACACAGGGGTGCCTGCTGGCCTGGTGCAGGGAGCCTGGGCTCCCTGGGGACACTCGCTCCCTCCACCCCAGCCCTCTTCCCCAGCACTGGCAGAACCTGGGCTGTGTCCCCAGCTCATGGCTAGGAGTAGGACGTCCTATTTCTAGCTGCTCTCCAGGTGGCCCAGCCAAGGCCCTGGCTGAGTGGGGGACCTGCAGCCTGGGTGGGGGCAGGGGAGGAGGAGCCGGCCACAGGGCTGCTGACAGCACGGGGCCCTGGGTACTCACCGGCACCTTCATCTTAAAGTCATCTCTGTTGAACTTGAAGGCGATTTCGGAGAGAGTCCGCTGGAAAAACCCCGTCGGGCGGAGAACAAGGACCAGCTGCAGGTTTGCTGGGAAAGAGGCCTGCGGGACAGGAGAAGGGCCTGGGCCATCTCGGTGGATAGCTGGGGCCAAGGGTCCCACTTACACGGCAGCTGACCATGGGGGGCTCGTGTGCTGGTCATGACTGAAGAGTCAGGGCGGCTACGGTGTCACGGGCTCTCTGCAGGCCCAGCCCTGCAGAGGTGGGGTCTTCCCAGAGGCACGCGGTCACTGGGGAGCCCGACAAGCGTGAGTGTGTGCAGAGGAAGGGAGCTGGACACTCACAGGGAGAACCTGTGAAGATGGAGGCGGAGAGTACAGACGCTCCTGTGGGCGAGGAACCTCAGGGCTGCTGGCCACCCCGTGACCAGCAGAGGGAGCCTGGACACGCTCCCTGGAACCAGCTCTGTGACGCTGAACCCCACACCCCAGCCTCCAGACAACAGAGAGTGGACTTCCGAGTGACCATCAATCTGTAGCACTTTGTTACAACAATCCAGGAAACTGGGGGCAAACGAGTCCAAAACAGCTACAGAGAATAGACACTCACCACCTAACACAGAAATAAGACGTCTACGCCCCAGCGAGCACACCCCCGAGTGGTCACAGTGTGCCTGGTCACCACGAGGCGTGTCACTTTGGGGACATCACTTTACTTTCTGTGCCTCAGTTTCCCCACCTGGAAATGGGGATTAAGTGGGTCTGCTCTGTCACACTTGGGGAGGGACACATGGTCTGGCCGGTGCCTGGCAGAGTGAGACACAGCAGCACAGCCATGCCGGACGCACACTGAGGCAGGAGGGTCCAGGTGCTGGGAGACCAGGGAGACCAGGTCTCCAGGGAGACCCAGGCCCACAGGGAATCTCTGAAGGGCAGAGTCTGCTCTCTGGATGACCCGGCAAGAGACTCGCAGAACAGAGAGGTCAGAAAGAGCGCACAGCCCTGAGGCCTGAACACAGAGGACACTGAGACGGCAAGGACCCGACTCACCACTAACGCTGACCCTGGGCCGGGCCACACCAGACATTTGGGCCAACGCTGGTGGCCCGGCCACACTGGCCAGGGGGACAGAGCTCTGGGCCTGTGAGCCAGAGTCTAGAAGGAGGTCAGAAGTGAATGACTGACGACATGTCTCTCAGGACATAGGCTTTTGCAGTGCCCTTTGAGACCCTGGACGAGGAGATCACAGAGCCGCCAGGACCAGAGGCTGTACCTCCTGGCCAGAGCTACTCAAGTGGTTGGGCTCTCCCCGTGGTGTGTGACTCGGCACTAAAACCAGGCCTGTCACTGTGCAGCTGACCCCACTGGACCACACAGATGCACCTGCAGATGCCAGCGCTTGGACCCCCCATTTGTATTACAGCTGGAGAAGGGGCCGAGAATCACGACACAGAAACAGAACTGAGCGGGGTGCTGGGTGCCGAAGCCCGGGCAATGATGTAGTAAGTTACTTGACCATCCAGTCATCTTAAAGGCCACGGGTTTCCACCCAACATGAAAACAGTGTCCTTTCTCTGGGGCTGATCCTGATGGACTTGGGACGGGTGCAGGAGGTGAGGGCCGGAAGAGCCACCGAGGAGCTAGAATAGGTGCTGACTGGGTTCTAGAGCACCCCAGGCCTTCAAGGCTTAGCTTGGAAACAGAGACCCTGCCGTGGGGAGACTGCTTAGAACGTCCTGGCCAAGCCAGACGCTGTGGGCACACCCACGGTCCCAGCACCACGGGAGGCTGAGGCAGGAGGGTTCCAAGCTCCAGGGCAGCCTGGGCACTCGTGAGCCCCTGACTCAAGATAAGAAATGACAGGGTGGGGTGTAACTTAGTGGTAGAGCACGTTTAGTCCTGTGAACACAGAAACAAACAAGCACTCTACTTTTCTTAGGGCTCAAAACCACATTTATGTTATATAATTTCAAATATGGCACCTGAAACCTAACCAGTTACATTTCTGATTGTACCCAAAAATAACGAGTTTAAAAACACACCTTTGAAAGTCTGTGCCTCAGCATTAACAAAGACCTGTGGGTCTGACTCGGGGCAGCTTGCTGGGTGGAAATGGGCAGCGCCAACCATTCCTGGGCGCCCCACCTGGTGCTGGAGGTCTGCATGGACATGCTCGCACAAGGCCAGCGTCAGCAGGGCCACAACGAGACCCCTTGGCCTGAGTCCCCAGGAGGGCAGGCAAGGGAGTCTACTGACAGCAGCACTGTGGTCACTGCCCTCTGTGCCTGCTGACCATGCCTCTGTCACCATGGTCCATGTGAATTTCCTGAGTGTCTGTGGCTACACTGGCCACACTGGACACATCGGCATGAGGGGACACACAGCTGAGTGTGCAGAGGAACTGACGCTGACGGCCCCGGGGGGAGTGTGAGCTGTGGGTGGGCACCGCGGCCCCGGGCAGTGTCCGTGAGCCCCCGCGGCCCCACACAGTGTCTCTGTGGCAAAGCTCTAACGTCGGCTCCCAAAGATGGGCATGCATGGAGTTCCTGGGCCACCCCCAAAGTGACCTGCAAACTCCTGGGATTGAAAGCTGAGGGAGAAGGTGCTGAGTTTAGTGGGCTCCTCTTCTCCTGTGTACTTGGAGGCCAGATCACCAGACCTCTAGCCACCTGTAACCAACTCGGGCACCAGGTATTCCCCACATGCATAATGCGCTCCATGTCACAAAAACGAGCCAAGCAGATGACTGAGGTCCAGGTGTGGGGCTGGAGCACTGGGGGCTCCCAGGTGAGTAGCTCCCCAGCAGGCCAGGTGGCAGGCAGAACAGGCGCCACCGCGGGGTGACCCCGCAATGCGCTGGGCAGACCCTAGACACCCTAGTCCTCTCTTTGTTGGAGACACCTTTTAAACTGTTCTTTCAGCAATTTTGGGATATACAGGGCATGAGTCCCGTGGGGCAGGGTGGTGGGAGCCGTGGCTAAGACCCTCGGGGGCCAGAGTCCCCTGGAAGAGGGTGGAAAGGGGGTGCCTGAGACCTCCCACTTGTTACGTCTGGTTAAGGCAGTGACAAACGCCTTCCAAAGAAGAATCCCCTTCACACTAGAGAGACCTTCCTGCCCATGTTGCCTTCCGGAATATTCTGCATGGACCAGCACCACCACTGGGGCCACCACTTCAGGGGACCAGCTGGGCCTTGTGGTGGGGAGGTCCAGCCTGATGGAAGGTCCCTGGGTTCCTTGAAGCCCAAGTGGTGAGTCAGCAGCGTCCACAGCAGAGTGTGTGCCTAGGAAGTGCCAGTCCCCTCCCACCATGACGCCCATGTGGCAGTCACCTGGCCATTGTTGGTCACGACTGGGTCCTGCCTCAGCTTGGCTGCCCAATGTGGACACCAGTCCTGCAGAGTGGGCTCAGCTCCCTGACCTCCAGACATGGCTTTCCCTCCTCAGGAGGCCTCCTCCTAGGTGGACTGTGCCCCCGGAGCCACTGACTGGCCACCCTTGCTGCCTGTGCCTCCCTTCGAGTCCTGGAGGGGCCCACCCTCTGTGGGACAGCACTGCCTTCCTGCTGGGCTCCACCCAGTCCACTCTGCTGAGAAGCCCTCGTGTTGCCCACTCAGGCTCCTCCCCCAGGGTGCTCCTACCCCTGCTGCCACTCTCCTTGGAGCCTGGTGACGGGCACCCGCAGGGTCCAGGTGGCGGTCGGTACCATGGCACCTCGCCCCGCGTGCTCCCTTGGCACCCTGAACGCACTCAGAGGGCACGGCAGCAAGACAGCTCTGGCTCAGGCAGACAGCAAACCTCCTTAAACCCAGCTTTCCTGGCACCCCCTCGGGCAGAGGTTCCGTTTGAACCAGGCTGGCTCTAGGTATCAATGTGTGCATCCACCACAGAATCCAGAAGGGCCCACCATACAGCAGGAGAGAGTCAGATTCTGACGTAGCATCCTGCAAGAGCAGACGTAGGGGTTTTGTAAAAGACCTTCATCCCAGGACCGTCTGAACTTCCAACCAACGGCTTGGCGGACGGGGAGGCCCAGGTCCTGTGCTCTGGGTCTTGTCTCTCCACCTTCCCTTCCTGTGACAGGCAACCCGTGCAGGACCCTGTTACGGGCAGCACCCAGTCAGTCTCCAATCTGTGGTCAGATGGACAATGCCCTGCTCCTGGCAGAAGCAAGGGAGTCTGACTTTAGGAACAAGGATTCTGCTCTGCCAGAGTCGTCTGTTTCTATTCCAAGGCAGGCAAAAAAGAAAAGAGAACACTGCAGATCAGGGAAAGCTTGGCTTGTGAGGCAGCCCGGATGGCTAAGAATAGCCCGGAGTCGCAGAGCGTTATGTAAGTGCAGCTCTCGCTGGTGGCCAGCGCCCGGGCAGGAGGAGCTGCTTCACCTGCTTGCCCCCTGGCATCCCACGGCCCCCTGCCAGGCGCTGGTGGAACCTGCCCTGGAGCACAGGCTGGGCTGGCCTTGGCTGGTGCCAAGGGGTGGCTTCCCATCTACTTTGATGAAGGCACAGGCAGAGTCCCCATCTGGGCTGTCATCCTTCAAGAGAGTCCACAGAGCTGTCCCTGAAACATGGCACCAAGACCCAGGAGCCAGGTGCGGTGGCCCCTGCCTCTAATCCCAGCAGCTTGGGAGGCTGAGGCAGGAGGACCACAAGTTCAAAGCCAGCCTCAGCAACTTAGTGAGGTCCTAATCAACTTATCAAGATCCTGTCTCAAAATAAAAAAATAAAAAGGGCCGGGGACGTGGCTCAGTGGTTAAGCACCCCTGGGTTCTATCTTTGGTGCCCAAATTAAATAAAGACCCCGGAGGGATCATCCCAGGCTACTCTCCCTGGCTGCCTCCCCAGACTCCAGCACACCATGTCGACAGAGCCAGGACATTCCTCTGCCCCGTCCCCCCACCTCAGAGCAATAGAGGGCCTGTCAGCGTGACCTCGGAGTGCCCGGACACGGATGGCTATGGCCCCCACAGGGCCCTCACTCTGCAGCCCCAGCCTCCTTGGGCTTTTCCTGGTTTCTCCCAGTGACATCAGAGGGTCCCTGGCTCAGTCTCCTCCCGCCACATCTCCTGGCTGCTCACATCCCCTTCTGCACCGTCTCCATGACGTCCTCTAGGAGGTGGGCACAGGACAGATGCCGACCTGCCCTGGCCAAGCCGCGGCCAAGCTCCCGCCTACCGCCTGCCCCTTCATCGATGCCTTGATGCTGTGCACCCTCCTTGCCTGCGGGCACTTCTCACCCCCTGCATCTCCAAGGTGCGTGGTGGGGACTCAGAATGTGCTCGGGTACATGACACCTGCACCAACACAGTCTCTCCCTCTTACCCCAGCTCAGCCCTGCACTTCCCTCCGGACCGTCTTGCTGGGGAAAGGCTGACTTCTGCACTACCCAAGACAGTGCCTGTGAATGCTGGGAAGAATCAGTATTTTTATGGAGCAAAAACAAATTAAAAAAGCTCAAATAGTAACTTTTCAATTATGATTTTCCAAAACAAAGTTTCAAAGATGAGCCAGGTTGCTTCCGGAGTCCACTCAAGGCGGGAAGCAGCTGAGCTCATCCTGTGCCCAGAGCTCAGCACCCGGCCAGGGCGCTCAGCTGCACAGAACCAGGAGGCCTGTTTCTAAAAGATTCCTGTGTTTAGAACAGCAGCCTCGCACTGGGGACTTCCTAACATCGACCGGGACAACACACGGCTGCCGTCAGGCCTCCCTAGGGCCCAGGCAGGTGTGCAAGTGTCTCCAGAAGGTGGGGCCCGGCCCTGGGGTGCTGGGAGCACCTGGGGAGGTGCTGGGGGAAGGGTAAGGAGGAGCCAGGCGGGCAGGGGTGTGGGGACACCCTGTACATCGGCAGCTGGAGGCCTGGTACCCATGTGGGCATGAGCAGGAATGCGCCCACGGGGCGTCTGCCCCAGGGATGTCAGAGCCACCTCCGACTCTGCCCACATCACGCTGGGACAAGTCTTATGGTCATTTACACCAGCGGGGTTGACCGGGTGGATGCCATTCCTTCGCCAGTGTGGACTTCCCTGGGAACACCGGCACCCCTAACTGGGGACCTCGTGGTGCCTGACCCAGGACTGGCCAACCCCGGGCCTGCCTCGCAGTGCAGAATGGCCTGCTGCGGCGGCGTGCACAGACACACCTGAGGTCTGAGATGGTGAAATGGATGCGGGCTGTGAACTGGTGCTCACAGAAGCCTTGTCCAGACCTCTGGGCTGTGGGAGCTGGGAGGGGCTGATTAGGTAACACCCCACTGTAGACAAGTGGCGGCACGGGCAGCACAGGCAGGGTCGGGAGGGGGCTTGCCCTCCAGGGACCTCCTCAGAGCAAGGGCAGTGCGGGAGGCTGCGCAGCCCAGGCTGCCCCGACCCGTGGCTGTGATGAGAGAGGCCTCAGCCCCTCCTTCTCCTCACAGGTGGAACCCTGAGGGCACCTGTGGGCAGACGCTCGTCCCTCTGAAGCGCCAGAACCCAGCAGCCCACGAGGCCAGCACCACGATGTCGTGGATGCGAAACCCAGAGCGGGGTGCCCGGAGGGTGGACCCAGGGAGTGCAGCCTCGGAGAGGCCTGGGAGCCTGCTCTGGGCACCTGCGGGCAGACAGCCTGCTCTGGGTCCCTTGCAGCTGAGAAAAGTCGTGTGGGAGGACTCGGCTCAGAAGAAGTACCCGGACTGAGCTGGTGGGGGTGGCGGGAAGCCGTGGTGGGAGACACTATCCGTCTGTGCCTCTAGAAAGCCTGCTACAGGCTTCTCTGCTGCGGGGGAGCGCTCAGAACCTGCCCTGAGTGAAGGTGGTCCCCCAAGGGCAGGGTGGGCTGCTGAGGAAAGCTAAGGCCTCTTGGTGTGTGAGCGAAGGAACCAAGAGCCCAGGAAAGAGTCACCTAGAAAGAGGTCAGCCCACTCTCCGACCTCTGTCCTGCAGGCTGTGGAACCCAGCCACCTGCCTGTGCAGGACTTCTGTGCTCCACTTACGAGTTAGTGCAATTCTAAAAAAGCCCCTAAGAGCCAGCCCTTGAGAAAGCAGACACACACACACACACACACACACACGCACGCACACACACACACACACACATGCACGCACACACACACACGCCCGGCATCTCTGGAGCCCTTGTGGGCTCAGTGCTGGCTCAGCCCACTCTGTGCTGGACCTGCTAGCCAGCCACCCACTGCTGAGCCCTCCCACTTCGCACAAGCGTCAGAGCATGGACTGGAGAGGGCAGGGTGCTGGCCCCTGGCCACGACTGAGGCAGAGCACTTACGGCTATCCGCAGGACCGACGCCTTCACGGAGGTCCATTTGTCCTGCCTTCGGTCTATCACCAGGATGAATCCAATGCCTGCATCCTGTAGGCTGAGAGGAGAGACAGCTGCAGTTAGCGAGAGCAGGCGGGAGCCTCGCTGCCCACGTAGCCTCCTGGGAGCCTCACGGCGAGTGACCCTCCTAGAATCCTGAGCCACTGCCGGGGCGGGGTCAAGTGCATGCCGGGGGCCAGGGGCCCGTGCAGCCCGTCTGCACTCTCCCACACTCGCTCCTGTCTGAAGAGGACAGGTGTTGGCGCCTCCTGCCTGACACAGACATGTCAGCCCAGCACACACACAGCCCTCTTCCTGGGCTGGGCACTTTAGGGCCCATAAGAGCTGGTCATGGGCTTTTCCTCGGTGGCCAGCTGACGAAACCCTCAAAGCAAGTTTTAGGACCTGTACATGCCACGCGTCCTAGCATCTGAGATCCCTGTGTCAGTCCACGTTAAACAGTCACTTCCAACAGCAGCACGGGGACCTCGGGAGGAAAGCCCGGAGGCTTGGGGAGGCTCGAGGGCCTCTGCCGGGAGTGCGATGCGGGCGCTTGCCCTCTGCAGCAGCATCGGTGGTGAAGAGGACAGCGTTCCTGGTGCAGCGCCTCCCGGCCCTCCGCTCCGCCCGGCAGGCGCCTGAGTCACAGTGTGGGAGCTCTGCCTCCGTTGTGACTTCTCACCAAGCCAATTGTGTGGTGCCAGCAGCTGCCGGCGCAGCCAATCCACAGCAGGAAGGAAGAAGTCAGGCCGGCAGAAGGCACCGACTCGAACTGCTAATTCCCACGTCTCTGAACATGCCCAAGCCAGCCGCTTATGGGAGTTGGGGAAACAGCTCCACAGGACGCTCTAACGTGCAGCCGTGGGGTGCGCTGCAGGCGGCACTCGGTGAAGATCCTCTGATGCCCGGATATGACGCCCTGACTGTGGGGCATGAAGCACCGTCCACCCTGCTGACTGCTCATGCCAGGCTGGTGGTGTGGGCTGCACGTGCGGAGGGCAGTTTGGCTCAGTGACACATGAATAAACATGAGCTTTACTCAAAATAGCTCCTCTGCTGCTGGTGGCTCAACAGCCTGGGGCCCGGCTGGTGCCACTGTGAGGGTCCGTGGAGCTGTGGAGTCAGGACAGACCCCCTCCCTGCTCTGGCCTCTAAGGCCCATCTGCTCCAGCTCTGCCGGCCTCAGGTCTGGTGTGGTGGTGGTGGGCAGGAGCCACAGGCACAGGGCAGCCAGACACTGGGGGTGGACATCGGGGCTTCACATTTCCCAAGGCCTGCCCAGCTGCATTTGCTGCAGGACCCCATGAGGAGTAGGGGCACCCACTTCATCCAGAGATGGGGGCTAGGCAGGGGCTTCGTGGCGGGAGAGACACAGCCAAGGTCAACATCTCCAAGCCCCTTGGTGACAACGGTGAGGGAGGCCCCGTCAGCCCTGCACAGACTCCCCCAGGTGTCTTCACCATTGACGGGGGAGATGCTGAGGCACAGAGAAGCCTGCACCCCAAAGCCAGGCAGCAAGAGTGGGGAACTAGCCGGGGCCTGGCCGCCACAGCCCAGGGGCTAGGTCCTCAGGCTCAGGCCTGCTGGGTGCTGGCACCACAGTGGGAGGTCAGAGACCAGGGATGCCAGCACAGGGCACAGGGGGCGGTGCCCTGGAGGGCAAAGGAGCCCGAGGGGAGGCCAGGGAGGGCTGGCCCAGGAGGGGCATGGGCCATGTGGTGGGGCCCATACACAGGGCCTGGAAGCCACAGGCTACAGAGAAGGTCCCCCCTGGTCCCTACCTGGAGGGCACATGTCACTCATGCAGAGCTGTGCAGGGTCTCCAGCCTGGCCAGGCACGGGGGAGTGCCAGTCGACAGGCTGTGGGTGGGAGAGGGACCGGGGGCGGCGGACACCCCGTGCGCTGTGGTGATGCTATACTCTCTGGCTGACAAGGCGGGAGAGGAGAACTGCCTGAGCAGGAGAGCAAGAGGCCCACAGTGCCTGGGCAGCGAATGGGCTGAATACCACGTTTCTTTCCCACTAGAAGTGGCCAAAGAATCAGAGGTCTCACTGGTGCAAGAGCCTGAAGGGCCGTCCAGCCCTCCAGCTGTCTGCCCTCCACTCGTTCACAGCCCCCCAGACGCACCATCACCCCAAGAAAGGCCTCCTGAGACCTGTCCACAGCTCACAGGGCCTGTACCCTGCCCTTCTGCCCGTGCCGCCCAGACCAGCTGTGCACCAGCCCAAAGAAGAAACAGACTGAGGAGAAAGGCGTGTCCCCCCACCAGTAGCCACACCTGCAGAGGCTGCTGGCCGGCTCCTGCCTAGGCTGCCCTGACTCCTCTCCACCCTGGAGGCTCCCACCTGCCACCAGCAGGACAGTGGCTGGCGGGGCAGCCTGGGCTGCGGAGGGGCCAGCGGGAAGGGCTGCCTAGGCCAGCCTACAGCTCCACCGCTCCTCTGCAGCAGGACACCAGTCTCCAGCAGGTGACGGCAGTGGCTCTCCTCTGGGGGAAGGGGCCAGGAGGGCAAGCTATGGCAACACCTCCCACGGTGACGGCGGTGGCTGTTGAGATGGCCACGCCACAGACCTGGCCACTCAGCACAGAGCCCCTGGCCACAGGTGCTCTGAAACAGAGCCCCACAGAGCACGGGGATGACATTTCACTTTAGAGCTGAAGGCCACGTGTGGTCAGTGGCTGTCCTGATGGCTTGTGGTCACTAGGTCGACTGCAAAGGGGAACGAGGAGGTGAAGGAGGCAGCTGAGGCCAGAGGAGGTGGCTGCTGCGGTAGGGCTCGGGGACAAGACCAGGTAGCCACAGAGCTGGGACCTGTGGGGGGTGGTCACTGTGGCAGTGGGATGGGGACTGAACGGTCTACAGGATGCATCAAAGGTGCTACCCCACCTGAGGTCCACAGTGCTGCCCAGGAGGGGAGCTGGGGAAGGGTCCTCATGGGGGTACGCCCCCCATCCGCAGGTCCGCAGTGCTGTGGGAAGCAGCCAGGGGCCTGAGCTTTCCAGGGCCCAGGGACACCAGGTGAGCACAGTGGTACTCACACACTGGACCACACAGTGGAGTGGACTGGGGACCGCATGGCCAGACATTCAGGAACTGTCACCAACGGGGCACAGTCCTACCCCCAGAGGAGGAACCCACTGAATCCAGGAGCTGTCCTTCCTTACAGCACTCCTGACTGTGAAGAGTGGCCATGAGATCCCAGGGGATAGGGCACAGGTCAGGGGGACTGTCCTTCCTTACAGCACTCCTGACT